CAAGCGACCAAGCTCTCCTTGCTGCTTGGAATGGCTTTGAGAAACCGATTTGGTTTATTTAGAAACACACTCTCAAATTTTACGTCTTTGAGGCATAACTTTACTAATATCAAAAATGGAAGTGCTTTTGATTTATTGCCAAATATAGTGACAGGAAAGGTGATACTGTTCGAGAGATGGGATTTCAGATACTTGTACCATTTAATGATAACAGTTGCGTTTGTTGCTGTTTTCCTCAACTGCTACATCCTTTCTCTGGTTGTCCGCACCAAGAAATTACGTCATAAACACAATATCTTCCCAATAAACTTGACACTGTCCGATGCATTTGTCGGGTTCGTTGTAATTCCGTTGTTTGTCATTGGACAATATATGCTTGAGGACACCTTGTTTGATAGATTTCTTGAGTCTTCGCGTGTTTATCACATCAGCAGCGTGACACTCATGTTCAGTAGCCTTGTTAATATCTATAGCGTAGCTGCGATTGTCGTTGAGCGCTTGGTTGCAATTTGCCTTCCATTCAAACATCGTCAGAGCTTCACGCGTTCGAAAGCAACGGTTACAGTTCTGGCAATATGGATCCTATCGATACTGTTTGCCGCGTTTTCATTTTATGTGTACGAAAAGTTTTATACTACAAGTCATGTTGATTCAGCGTTAGATGCTATCTTGCTTGTTTTGTCAGTAGTTAAATCGGAGCGGAAGTACAAGGGTTACGATGATAGCTTTATTTGGATATGCTTGGCGGGTTCTCTAACTGCTGGTTCCGGACTTGTTGCAACTCAAGTTGTGTTATGCAGAAGACGCAGAGCGTCGAAAATTCGTCGTTCAGCTACGCAAAATGTCACGAGAAGAAGCGAAGAGATCAAGGCTACAGTGATGCTTTCGTTGATGTTTATGGCGATTATCATCTGGCTTATTCCGATAATAAGAGGAAGGAAATTGCTAAATAGAGAATTGTCAATGTATCTATACTTGGGTAGATTCTGCCTGTCTATCGTCAACCCAATATTATATACGCTCCTAAAGCAGGACATCCGGACAGCAGCTGCAAAAGACTTTCGCGCCTTGAAAAACTTTATACTGCGATCTTTCTGCAGGCGCTGTATCCATACCTCCGTTACATCCACGACGCGCGCAAACAACAACAACAAAAGAAGTGTTTCAAGTAAATCTGACATCTCAACAACAGAGATATAAAATTTTAAAAAGAGTTTGAGAAGCGTGTCCGGTGGAAGGAGTTGTTAGCAAGATTTCTACTCTGATTTCGTTTATTTGGTTTCTCGAACACCCTCATAATCATGACGTTGGAATCTGCGTCTTTGCAGTCAGATCTTGATTTCCTTTAGAAGTTTTGTCCTTGTAAGCTTACACTGAGTATTAATCGCGGGATTTTTTCAATTGAGAATGTACTACCTACTTGTTTGCTTTGTACCAATTGTTCGGTTTTGATACAAACAGAATTTCGTACCAGGCAAGCAAACAGCAGAATAAACAAACACTAGGTCATAATATTTTCTCTTCCCCTGAAATCGAAGATCGGACTTGGTTTATTCAATAAAAGTTGCATCGAAACTCAACAAACAGAATATAACCACAGATAACCACACTGGCAAGGTAAATACCAAATTTGCTCAGTGGCAGGTGACTTAATCAAACTGAGCATTGCTATAGTGAGGTGAGGAGTTTAGGCATTACAATCTTGTTAGAACACATCCATGTTGTCAACTTACAAACACATTACTTTGAGAGTGTCTCCTAGATTGTTTTTTAATGTGAATTTAAATCGTTTATCATCTAATGTTGCAAGTATAATCTTGGAACTCTATGAAAATTATTTTCGACCCGACAGTTTTACGTCACTTTGAGTACATTACAGATTGCCCGGCTGTCCCAGGAACTCAATTTTTTGTTCGTGATAATTGTGCTGTTAAATGGATTATAACAGAAGTTTAACTGCGGTGCAGCTTATACAAGGACCAGTGGCCAACAAAAGTTGAAATTTTTTGTGCGTACATCGCTATTTTGAAGAATGGATTTATCGTTTCTTTCTGTGAATTTCACTGGGAATTTCACAAACTTGACCAAGCTAACACTCAATTTGACAATACCAAGAATGACTGGCATACTGTTAAAAGCCATGAATATCACTATCGGCCTAGGAGACTGGAATTTATTCCCAGCATGGGGATTCGCGTACATTTATCCAGTTATGGTAACAATTGGTATTTGTATCAGTGTCTTGAACATTTACATACTTGTGTTGTTCAAAAGAAAGCCCTTGTTACGTTCTAAGTCTAACTACTTTCTTCTCCATCTCGCCACTTTTGACGCTATCAATGGAGTTATCTGTGTCCCGTTATTCGTGGCATCTGAAAAGTTAATCGAAAGAGCAAGATACTCTACCTTTGTGCAAGCAATGTGCGTTTATCAGATTACGCTAATCATACTACGCGCCGTGAATATTCTTGCAATTATAACCTTGTTCATGATTATCACAGACAGATGTTTAAATCTATGGTTTCCATTTCGTTACCGACAATTCAAGACTTGGAGAAAGATTCATATTTCCCTATTTGTTGCCTGGCTCTTTCCTGTCTTGTTTACGACCTTTGCAATACCGATCTACCTCCCGATGTTTCGCTCCTGGAAGCTATCAACCTTCGTAGATATCATCAAGCTGTCAACGATTATCTTAGAGGTGTCTATAACACTTGAAAAGTACAAATACAGGGAGGTTTTTTACTGTTCTTTAGTACTGTCTACGATCTTTTCTTCGATATCTCTGTGCCTTATATTCGTAGCCATTTATAAAAGACCTAGAATCCTCACTTCTAACAGCAGAGCTTTTATGAGTTCTACAAGACGCAAGAGAGAGCTGAAAGCGTTTCGTGTGTTATGCATAATGTTTTTGACCATACTAGTATGGCTTGTTCCAACCGTTTACGCCTTTGTAGGTGGCCAGGAGAGACTACACTACGTTGTTTTTCATCTTGGGAGGTTTCTCATTTCTATAACAAACCCGATTCTCTTCACAATTCACAAGACAGATTTTCAAAAAGCAGTTTATCAAGATATTATATTTTTGAAAAGTCTTGCAAAATGCTTCCAGGCAAATGTTTCGGCAAACATGGTATCACCAAGACAGAGCCAAAGGGAAAGGAGCAAAGCAAGATCGGCATTTGTAACTCACCTCGTTATCTATAGAGAATATCCGAGAACATAACAGTTAATACAACTGTCGGTGACGTCAGCTCGTTGCACTTGTGTATTTGCGTATCATCTGTTAATCTTTCTTTATACCACTAAATCACACAAATATTTCATGTAGCCTTTCGCAAATAAGATCAACTGTTTTTATCTGGGTTAGAGGAAAACATATTTACTATATACTTTCGGGGTATTTGGTATCAGGTTTAGCATTAATACATACCACTGAGTTTCCACTCCAAAAAATTTTTGTTCAGTTAAAGAAGACTTTTTACTGGCGATCATCTTGTACATGGGATTACCTTTTCTCCATAAATTTGTTAATTTCAAGTTGATATTTTGTTTTCTATTTCAAAAATTTTGTGTCTGGATTGCAGCCCAGCTTAAAACCTTTTCAGGTTTCCCTGTTAAGTTTTATTTCAAAAATAAAGTCGTCTCTGAATGTAGAGCTGCATCAGTGGCCAAGCAGTCAATCTGCTCTCTAAGAAGCTACTCTTGAGACACGAATGAAAATGAAAATTTAATTTAAAATTTTACTTGATTTTATACAATAGCTTTACGAGTAGCGATGGAACTTGTTCTCCAGTTAGCAGGAATCTTCTTCCTAAACCAAGAAGTTGTAACTACTAAGATGCCAGTTTAAGGCGAGACCTTGTATACTTTTTGTGAACAATTATGTGTGTTGTGTATTAACCTATTTATTTCCCACTGACATACTTAACTGGAACTTTATCCTTTGATTCGTTTTATATGCCATTCTTTTATTGTATCTAATGTATTTGCAAATAGTCTTTCTATAATGGTAAAAAAGACATATAACTGGATAACGATATATTTACCCTTTTAATCATTTGTCGACTTTCTCTTTAAAATGTCCTCAAAAAAATTTTACAATCTTTACTGTGGATTAATCTTTTGAAAACATTGTTTACCTGAACTGAGAAATTCTCAAATTGCAAATACCATCTTTTCAGGCATCTTTGTTTTCACAATACCAGCTCATTTCTCAAAATGTTTGTTTTTTATTCATCCACCGTTTTTAATGCCTCGTTTCCGTGTCTTCTGTGATTTAAACATTTGTGAAATCTTTCATTTGGCATTTTTGGGTGGGATTCAGATTAACATAGGACTGGTGGCTAATATTTGGCCGTGTGGGACTATTTTGAGCAAGAAAGTATCCTTTCTAAGATGAATCGTGGTCATTTCCACTTTTTATAGCATGATAATTCAGCTGTATAACTCTTGCTTAATGGCGTCATAGTTTGAATTCAGCTGTACACTTTGGGGTCATTTATTGCAATACCCTCACAAAACTGCGCTTCTGTGTCTTTCTTCTTTGCTAAATATCTGACAAATAACATAACAACGGTGATAGGCAGGCGTTAACCAATCATTGATTTGATAGGCAGGCGTTAACCAATCATTGATTTGATAGGCAGGCGTTAACCAATCATTGATTTGATAGGCAGGCGTTAACCAATCATTGATTTGATAGGCAGGCGTTAACCAATCATTGATTTGATAGGCAGGCGTTAACCAATCATTGATTTGATAGGCAGGCGTTAACCAATCATTGATTTGATAGGCAGGCGTTAACCAATCATTGATTTGATAGGCAGGCGTTAACCAATCATTGATTTGATAGGCAGGCGTTAACCAATCATTGATTTGATAGGCAGGCGTTAACCAATCATTGATTTGATAGGCAGGCGTTAACCAATCATTGATTTGATAGGCATGCGTTTACCAATCTAGAGATATAAGGGAGGGTGGGGGCTATTTTTGGTCTGAGGCTGCTCAGAAAACCTTGGCCAAGATAGGCGGTGTTACATGATTGCCATGTTTTTAACTTGCAGTGTCATGGTCGTTAGAAAGTTTTCCGAAATCTTGGACGAGATAAATAGATATACTTTTAGTGCAAAAGACAAAACAAAACGTTTCATTTTTAAAAGACTTGCATGCTTTTTATATCTTCGCGCCAGTTGTATTCGCTTCTTTTCAAATAAAAGTTCTCAGAGATTTTTTCGATTTTTAGATTTTTTGAAGATCCTGTAAATTTTTTCGATTTTTTTAAGATTGTCTAGATTTTTGAGGATTTCTTGAGATTTTTCAAATTTTGAGAAGATTTTTACAGATTTTTCAGCACAGAGTGTACGATTTTTTTCTCAGGACGAGATAAATAGATATACTTTTAGTGCAAAAGACAAAACAAAACGTTTCATTTTTAAAAGACTTGCATGCTTTTTATATCTTCGCGCCAGTTGTATTCGCTTCTTTTCAAATAAAAGTTCTCAGAGATTTTTTCGATTTTTAGATTTTTTGAAGATCCTGTAAATTTTTTCGATTTTTTTAAGATTGTCTAGATTTTTGAGGATTTCTTGAGATTTTTCAAATTTTGAGAAGATTTTTACAGATTTTTCAGCACAGAGTGTACGATTTTTTTCTCAGGACGAGATAAATAGATATACTTTTAGTGCAAAAGACAAAACAAAACGTTTCATTTTTAAAAGACTTGCATGCTTTTTATATCTTCGCGCCAGTTGTATTCGCTTCTTTTCAAATAAAAGTTCTCAGAGATTTTTTCGATTTTTAGATTTTTTGAAGATCCTGTAAATTTTTTCGATTTTTTTAAGATTGTCTAGATTTTTGAGGATTTCTTGAGATTTTTCAAATTTTGAGAAGATTTTTACAGATTTTTCAGCACAGAGTGTACGATTTTTTTCTCAGGACGAGATAAATAGATATACTTTTAGTGCAAAAGACAAAACAAAACGTTTCATTTTTAAAAGACTTGCATGCTTTTTATATCTTCGCGCCAGTTGTATTCGCTTCTTTTCAAATAAAAGTTCTCAGAGATTTTTTCGATTTTTAGATTTTTTGAAGATCCTGTAAATTTTTTCGATTTTTTTAAGATTGTCTAGATTTTTGAGGATTTCTTGAGATTTTTCAAATTTTGAGAAGATTTTTACAGATTTTTCAGCACAGAGTGT